GGTTCCAGAGCGAGCTGCCCTTAGGAAATCGCCTCGTATAAGTGCCCTGCAACAGGCCAGGTCAGCAGCAACAGCTAAAGGACAGACTGACTCTCAAGATATTGCTGTAACATTTGCTAAAGCTTCTACTAATGCTACTGCTTCTTCGTCTAGAACTGTGAGAAGCAAAAATGAAGTAGGTCAGACGGGAAACAGTGTTAGTGGTAAGGGAAAGTTGTTCACAACAAAGGCAGTGACAAAGAAGACTTGTTCTGACAGGTCACGAAAAGCATTACAGACTTCTGGTGATAAGGAAGGAAAATTCCAACCCGCTGTTACTACAAAGAAGAATACTTTGGCAAAGGATAGAGCAGATGAATTAGAAGAAAGTTCTATATGTAAGAAAAAAGGAACTCTGAGAGCTGTTAATTCAGATAAAAATTCTAAGAAGGAAAGCATCGCTAATAGAGGCAGTAACAAGAAAAAAATTGATCAAGCAAACTCCTATAATGCTCAAGGTATACAAAACAAAGGAAAGGCATCATCAGTTATAAAGAAATTGGAAAACAAACCAGTAAAAAAGTTCTGTCCACAGGGGACGAAAGGACCAGTTTGTGAGAGCCAGAAAGGAAAGAAAATTAAAAGCCCTGTTAGTGTCTTGTCATCATCTAACAAGCCTAGTGTAAAAGAAATAAAAAAGGCAGAAGGATCAAAGAGCATTAAATCAGAAGTTGAACATTCATATAAAAGTGGAGATCAGAGCTTACCATCAACATCTGGAAAGATATATGCAACAGAGAAGAAAGCAAAGACTAGCCAAAAGAAGGCCGCACCAGTAACCAGACCAGCCAAAACCCAAAACAGTAAGAAAGGGGGATCTGCCAGTATGAGTAAGTCAGACCCTTTACCTAGACAATACTGAAGACCAAGACTCAGTAGGGGGTGCTGTAAAAGTCTAATGATTCCTTCTGTTATTTGAGTTATTGTAGATAGGTAATCTTAATATGAGGAACAAGGGATATAATTAAAAGTGTTAAGCACTTAGTAGACTGAACATATTGCATGGCTGAAGATAGTGATAACCTATCTTATCAGTACATGATGTTAGTCTCAAATCTACAGTCGATCACTAATTGTGGTGAGGGTTTGCATAATCTTAGTTATAACATTTACTGGTCATTATTTATGGTATTGTATGTCATTATTAGGTGTTAATTTTATATTCATTGCCCCATACTAAGCTTTGTTTAAGATTTTAAGGTTCTTTTAGAAGTAGAGTAGCCATATATGTGTGTATATGTATCAGATTAAAGCATAAGTCATGTTTTAACCCATTGGGTACATGTACTGTTCACTGTAGTTTGTATTTTCAGTTTTGTTTACACAGATGGCATCAGAAATGCTTTAGTCACCAATGTCAGTTACAACACATTCTTGTCTTAACCTGTTTTCCCCATCCCAAAATTTTTTGAGAATAAAAGATTTTATATGTAATACTACTGTTATTGTTATTATTATTATTGTTTTTTCATTTTCATAACCAATATCTGGGTGGTAGCTATAGCAGCGAGTGCTTGGTTCTGGGGATCTGTGAGGCACACTCGGCAGGCAACCCAGTCGGAGTATGAAAATAAAGGTGTCTCACATATGAGACAGTCCACAAACCCAACAATGATACCTGTCATTGTTGGGTTGATATAGCATAAATGACAAGTCTATTACTGATATAACTAATAAGGTTTCAATAGGAAAATATAATGATTAGGATAAGTAGTTTTAATCAGTGTAACCTAGTAACTGACTCATAGGTGACTAAAATTTTTTGGAGTTATCTATGTAAACAAAATGGATAAAACTCACAATGGATAAGGCATGTATACATGCCCTCTTGGCATCATTGGGTTAACTATGCAGTATCTTCTACAGGAAAAAGGTTTGCTGTTTTGTGGTTTAATGTCTATAGCATCAGTTTCCAATTTTTAATTGTCATTCTTTGAAGGCTGCCTTCCTTGGAAGATATTCCTTGTTTTATAAGATTTTGTGTGATATAAATCATGTATTACTAATACCCAGAAATTTTGTTTAATCTTAAATTATAAGTATTCTTTGTGTAAGTTTTAAGGTGAATAGAGCTATTAATATGTAAAGAACACCATAAGCTTAGTGTGAGGATCTATGTTTAGGGTTACAAATGACGATTGAGAAGATTAAGAAAGTTCATTTTTAAAGTTCTCAAATAACGATTGTAAAATATTTACTAGTATTTTAGGTATATTTGATATGTTAATTCCCCCCCCCTCTCTCTCTCCTCTCTCTCTCTCTCTCTCTCTCTCTCTCTCTCTCTCTCTCTCTCTCTCTCTCTCTCGTCTCTCTCTCTCTCTCTCTCCTCTCTCTCTCTTCTCTCTCTCTTCTCTCTCTCTTTCTCTCTCTTCTTTCTATCTTTCTTTCTTCCTCTTCTTTTCTTTCTTTCTTCTCTCTTTTCTCTCCTTTCTTTCTTTCTTCTCTTTCTCTTTCTTTTCTT